CTGGATGCTTACAAGTCTCATCCTTCCCCGAAATGAAGTCAGTCTTTTTCAGGGATATTAAATTTTTGTCCTATCTTTATATAGGGTCCAGCTCCAAAGTTATAAAGTATTTTCATAAAAGAACATTACTTGCCAATTAGGTAGGGAGCAAATAGAAAATAGTATTCACGGACACAGAATAAAGTGAGAAAACAACACAAGTCAATTGTAAAAAAAGAGAACTAACTTTTATTTAATATCTCTTATTGACAGACAGTACGTTAACTCCAACAACAAATTTATGCAGAAATTGATACTAAGAGAGCTCAGGTATTAAGCATAAATATTCAATGTCACATAGAACGTACCTCTAAGGGCGTATTTCTATACATTCTTTAAGACTCAATTTAACTTCGATGTCATGTCCTTCAATGACCCTTCTTTGACCACTTCCACGTTCCATCTGCATGCTTCCATAGTGTACCGCGCTTCCTCTATTGTGTTTATCACAGTGCACTAAAACTCCTCTTAACTTAATCTCCTTGGGTAAATTCTACCCCTTAAAACAGTGACCTTATCTTATTAATATTTGTAACCCCAGGCCCCTTAGCTAGTAGGTACTCAGTAAACACTGAATAAGTGAGTACATGAATGTAAAAATTAATAAAACCAGGTCATTTTCTTATGGAGTGTAAAACACTGGATTTGGTCAGGGAAGGATCCGAGAACTTCCAAACCACACAACTCTTCACTCATCGCTGCCACTGAATAAGTGAGTACATGAATGTAAAAATTAATAAAACCAGGTCATTTTCTTATGGAGTGAAAAACACTGGATTTGGTCAGGGAAGGATCCGAGAACTTCCAAACCACACAACTCTTCACTCATCGCTGCCTTATGTAGTATCGTTTCTTAGGTGGATGCATTTTAGAAGTTCAGCAGTTCTTCCTGGATTAGCCTGCTTTACACTACACTAAAGATTCACCACCCTATGGCACTGGTATCTTTGAAAGTTGATGAGACATTGTAATGATAAAAGTCTTCAAAGTATTTACAAAAAGTACAATTTAAAGCAAACTGACTATTACTCTGTTTATTATTCCCTGTAATTGATATTCAGCTTGAAGCTCATAACAGACTCATCAAACCTAAGTTTCCTTGATTCATTTTTAGATTCCTCTAGGTGAAGACACTATTAGAAACTAACAAGATGATAACTACTTGCAAACAAATTTCTGTCTAGCAAATCAGTTTCATTCTGTTTTGTGAGTTTAATTATACAAAATAGTAATATACAAATATATATTTGAACATACAAGTACATGTGATATTTTCTATGTATACATGTGTGTATTAACAGTGGTTATCTTTAAACTGAGTTTGAGCAATTACTAGCTATTTTAATATTCTACCTTATCTTTCATAGCCTTTCCACATTTTCTATAGTAAGCATGCATTACTTATAGTAATTACAATACTAACTAACATTTATTGAACACTTATTATGTAGTACTGTGTTGAAATCATTACACGAATTATCTTTTTTAATACTCACCACAACCCCATAATGTGGGTATTATTGCTGCATTATAAATTAGAAAACTGCAGCTTGAAGAGATGCATTAACATCCCTGAAGTCAATCAATGATAGAGACAGGATTTGAACCCAGAGCTCATTCTTTTAAACTCTACATACCATATTCTCTGGAAAAGAAAATAAATTAAAAGAGAAAGAAAGACAGACATACTGACATGGTTGGCCATTCTGTAACTATTTTACACTAGTAAGGCAAATATGGTATAGGAAAAAAATGATGAACTAAAAATACTGAGCTATGAATCCATCTGGATTCTTTTTTTTTCCCTTAAAGTAACTAGTGAGGACTTGGACCAGATAAACTCTAGTTTATATTTCAATCTTAAATTCTGAGATTTCAAAGCTCAGAGAACTTGGGTCCTTGAGCATTTGATAGGCCTAATTATAGGCTCTCTTTATTTGCTAATATACACACTAATAGATTTGCAACATAACCAGCACCATTTTAGACAAGCCCAAGTACAAAATGGTGCTGTCCACCTCTTCTCCTCCCCTCCCCTCCCCCGTTCTCTTTTACAAGGAGCCTCATGGTTTCGGAGAAAATGAAACTTTCTGCATTTCTGCATGTGCAGAACTCTACATTCCCATGACCTAACTCAATCCCCACCCCGGAATAACATCATCCAGCTCTTGGTGCCAGCATACCAATATAAGCTCCCACCACCCTATGTTAGCAGCTGTCCCCCATTTTCAGGGCAGCCCCAGGCTGTCCTCCATTTTGAGTACAGCCTGGCAGATTTCTTTCTTTAATAAAACTTGAACTATACCTGACATCTCAGCTCATTTTCTTTCACACACAAACATTACTCTCACTTGCCAATAATCATATTTGGAACATCATTATATCTGTCAAACTGAGTGGGGCTTAATGGACTCATGTCCACATGCCTCAATAATTTTGTAACCTGCCTCTGATTTTTTAAAGCAATTTAAAGATTAGTTATTTTCAGTGTGCTAGACAAAGCAAAAGAAATAAAAAACTGCGGGTGGGGTGGAGGTTGAGATGGAGGAGAGAAGACAGCAAATCAAACAATAAAATATCCATTCTAAGACATACGAGCTGTGGTTTAGATGTCTTTCCAGCATGCTCACATTTTCCAGATGCTTTTGTGATATTTTGAAGACTAGTGATTTAACTCATAGGATATATGACCTTGATTCATTTTCATTTTAACTTTCTGTCTTTAAATGTGCTACTTTGTACTCTGCTGATACACAATATTTTGTCTAGATTTATATTTATTTCTATAAATTTCACATAGTTTTGCTTCTAAGATATTTTTTATTATAAATATAACTATGAAGATATTTTACATATGCAATTCAAAAATAAAGTTAAGTACTTTTTAAAAATTTTCAGCTCTTTTCTTTAAGCACAAGATAGGCATCCAGAGGTTCTGGACTAAGTTCTGGATTAGAACAAAAAAAAAGAAAAATGAAAAAACAATAGTAATTTTGAGGAACATTGAATTTACTTGAACAAATTAACAGGAAAACACATATGAACACCTCCATTAGAAATAGATTTGCATGTTCCTATTTAATAGCTCTAAGGATACACACATATAAGTGTTGAAGGGCATTTCTGGAGCAAATGCATGACCAAAACAGTTGGGTGTCTGTAAGAATCTCCACTGAGGAAGAAAAGGTGAATTACCACAGAAGAAAACAGAAAATAAATTACAGAAATGAAGACTTGAATACCGAAAAGATAGGCTGTGGTAATTGGCAAAATGTACTTGGGGATCAATGACCAAATCATTTTGGTCACACAGATGTGTACGAGCAAACATATGAATGGACTATCATTCTCTCCTATGTTCTCTAGAAAGCTTATTAGATGGAATAGCAAGTCTCTGCTATTCCAGAGACCCACATCTGCTCAAGAAAGTGCATACGAGTGCAGGTTGTGCTACAGACCAATGGAAAAGTTCTCTCTAGGTTAGTTAAGTCTGAAAGGTTGATCCACCACATTATTTCAGAGTAATGAAGTAAATTGATTGAAATGGCAATCAAGAGTATGGGATTTGCTGCTAATTGTGGGAATAATGAGTGAATCTTTTTCATCTTAGGGTCTGTCAAATAAAAAAATAGTTAAGTGAACAGTTTTAGTCACTACCAGGAAGCAAATTGAGAGAAGAACAAAAAAATTATGAAGGGGGAGAGACTTAAATCTGCTGATGGAAAAAAATACACCTCTGATTCCCCAAATGCCTTATTCTTCAGAAATTGAAAATTGATTGGAAGAAGTAGAGATAATTACACTGGGGATGAAAACAAAAATGAGGAACATTGCATCTACTTCAAACATAAAAAGCCCAATGAAAGAGATATAGGTTAGATTTGGCTGATGGGTGTAACTAGGACAAATGAGTAGAATACACAGAGAGGCAGATTTTAGTTCCATATTAAGAAGACTTTTAATTAGAATTTTTCAATGTTGAAATAGGCTATTGCATAAATTGGGAGAAGTCCTTCAAAGGGATATGTGAAAGCAGAATCTCTTTGATCATCTGTATAGATGCTAATGAAATAATTGGTAAATTATGTGGAAGTGTGTTCTGGAATCTGATCTCAACAGCTCTTTTAATTTAAGATTCCCTCACTTTAAAGACAAAGTGGAACTGTAGGAGGAACTAGATTCTTCATAACCCTTTAACCCAGCTCAGAGCCAAAGTTTATGGGGGTCATGGAGAAGTGGAATGATGAAGGGGATATCAGGAGGTATGAGAGTAAACAGTGATGGCGACACATGGGAATTTGAATTGAATAAACAGACTAATTGTGATCATAAATATACATAACCTTCTGCATATCCACTCTACCCATTTCTCAAGGTTCAGTTAAGGATTATGTTTTGAAGAAACACCTCCCTAAATTTTAGCACTTACTATGTGCAAGCATCATCCCAGACAATATAATTTAAGTTTATTGTTTAAATACTTGTAGTCTCATCTCCCACTGAAAACCTGAAATCTATCTACTAAACAGTTAAGGTACTAAAGTACCTAAGAAAAACACTGTTTTAAAAACTATAGTTAATTAATCTGATTACCAAATTGCATTTTCTTATTTTTACTTTTCTTTCCCTCAATAACCTCAGTTCTTAGATCCTTGATGATAGTGATACCACTAAATCTTCTTTCTCTAAATACTCATCTTTGTTGTTTGGGTATAATTAAGTTTCCAGGTTGCTTAGGAAACTAAACCTAGGCAGCAGCTGCCAGGGTTTTGCAATGAGGTCCCACTCCAATTCAGCTCCTTTGTCAGAGGTGAAATGGACAACATATATTATTCCAGAAGAAATATTTTTAAAGTAATGTATTTAACTGAAATTTAAAAATACATTTTTGTAATGTAATAGTCCAAGAAATCCTTTTGGCTGGGAGTTGCTGAAGGAAAAGAGGGTTGTGTTACTGTCAGAACCACATATTTCAGGAGGTAACAGGCCATTGTATCAGATGCAGGCAGCATTGGGGACCTGGCTGGGAGTGAGATGGGAGCTGTGTTTGCTGGAGTGCCAGCATCTCTAGACAGCAAATGAAAACCACCTGCCAGAGCAATGATACCCAGGAGCCATCCTCAGGCCAGGCAAACAGAGTCAATTGATCCTAGAAAATGAGGGAAAAAAAAAGAGTTCAGTGTCATAGAAATTAAAATGGTTCAAAAGATGAACAACATAAGGATAATGGCTTCAGCTGTGGCTTAGCAGTTATCAAGCTTTTATGGACAATTTTGGCATGTTTTATCACCATAATTCAGAATCATTTATTAAAGAGTAAGTCATTTGTATCAACTGGCTAAGCACAATATCAAAAAGTGTATATATCTTTCCCTCAAGTACCTTAATATTATTGACCTTTATTTGTGCCATTTATATTTGCATGTATTAATTTAGTCATTAAATACATGTTTACTGAATGCCAAGTATGTGATAAGAACTGTCAGGTACAGAGGGACACAAAGGAAATAGCCTGAGATAATGTGAGTAAGCAGAGCAGAGGGAATATTATGCAAGATTTTGTAGGCCATGTTGAAGACATTTTCTTTATCAGGAGGATAATGAAGAGTTATATAAGTATTTTAGACAGTAAAAATTTATTTTTGTTTGTATGAAGAAGTTTTTATTAATGGAGCGTGGATTAGAAGTGGGTGATCTAGAAGTAGAGTCTTGGGATTATCTATTTATATAAACTGGTGGTGAGATGCTGGTGGTTTAAGCTAATATAGCAGCAGTGGAGGTGAAGAGAAGTAGACAAATTTGAGAGGGGATGTGGAGACAAATCTGAAAGGATTTGGCTTTTGTGTATGGATAGTGAGCTAGAAAGAACAGCTAAGGTTCAGGCTGAGGTTTCTGACATAGGCAGGTGATGTGGTGTTAGGACCATCCTTTGAGAAGGAAAACATAGGAGATAAAGCAGACCATGGAAGAAAACTTACTGAGCACCATCCCTGGGCTATGCCTATTTTAGGCTCTGGAGATACAGTGAAGAGCAAGCAAGACAAAGATCTTGACCTAAGGTAGCTTAGATTCAAGTTGAGAATGAAGAAGGAAACAAACTGCCAAATGCATAAATATGCTAATTATATGGTGCTAAGTTACTGAAGACATAAGTGGGAAGTCCTAAGAAGTACACTGATAAGAAGGAAAAAAAACAAGAATATAGTAGAGAGTGATGGGAGGTTAGAAAACATAAAGATTAGATGATCGAGGAAGTCTTCTCTAAGAAGATGTCCTGTGAGCTGAATGATGAGATGGAGGTAGCCGAAAAAAAACAAGAATATAGTAGAGAGTGATGGGAGGTTAGAAAACATAAAGATTAGATGATTGAGGAAGTCTTCTCTAAGAAGATGTCCTGTGAGCTGAATGATGAGATGGAGGTAGCTTTGATCTGGGAACATAACATCCCAGGCAGAGAAACCATGAGTGCAGAGGCTCTAAGGTGGGGCTGAACTTGACATGTTCCAGAACCAAAGAT